AAAAAAAAAAAAAAACAAAAAAAAAAAAAAAAAAAACTATTAGTATGTTTATGTGTTATACTGGTGCGCATCAGGTAAAATGAAAACGAATAAAAATAACAGCACAAAGTGACAGAGAAAGTGAGAGAGAAAGAGAGAGAAGGGGGGGATAAATGGGCTGTACATTCACAAACCTGGCGTCATGTCGTAACTCAGGCCAAGAGACTCCAAATCTTCCTGCGACACCTGACTGGTCAGGTTGTTCTGAAGGCTATTGGGTATCCTTTGCTGCTGCTGTTGCTGCTGCATCCGGGCGTCCACCACCGTCCTCAGCTCTTTACGCACGTACTCGGAATTAATACCACCTGTGCTACTCGTGTTACCTGCAATGAAGGACAATTCACACGGTTTGCATGATTAAACGTGAACGAGCGGCGCAAGGAATTTAACGTATGACGGATGACTTCTCGATCAGTGCAACAAGAATAGAAAGAGGGGCGGGGGGCAAAAGATCAGAAATATTAATTTACAAAAGTCAATAGTGGTGGCCAAGACCATTGTTGTAGCGATGCATCCATTATTTTACAGACGTAGAGAGGCTTCAGCGATGTTTTATTTATGGTGAACACACACAGGCGATTGGGCATTTGCATAATATTTCCTTTTTTTTTTTTTTTTTTTTTTTAACTTTTATTCCTTATTATTTATAGACTGTACATTAATTCACACAGACGAGAATGTTTAGAGAACACGAGGTAATGGTGACCACGGATGAGATGTAATAAACAAGCTTCAGCAGGCATTTGCTAAATGATAATGGTTTTCTACTTCTTCCTTAAGTGCATTTTCTTTCCCTGTACTCTCGTATAGATTGATATGATTTTTTTCTTTCTTTGCTCCTTAAGGAAGTAATGGAAGACGACCATTATTATCACGAAAACAAGCAAGACATTCAAGTTAAGCGAATATTTGGAAACAGCATGAGTTGAAACAACAAGAGTTGTGGTTAATTTTTTGACCACACCTATAGAAATTAAGTCTTGCGTGTTTTTGTGATTACATAAAAAATAATGTAAATTAGTTACGCTTAAAAATTATTTCCACAGATAAATTTTGCACGTTCTCCAACTCTTTGTTAAAACACCTTTGATGACAAGCTTAATGAAACAATATCTTACAAAAAAATTTTTATCAACAGCAATAACCAGTTATGGTTTTTTTTTTTTTTTTT